TCACTCGCGCTAGCGGAAATGCCAAAAAGGGGAACCGAGAAAGAGCGCAACGACATAGGCCACGGTGCAGACAGTGGCGGGGGCAGTGCGGGTGGCGGCTGGCGAGCCCGGCGGGGGCTTGCCCGCGGTTGCGCCGCCGCCGGCCGTCTGCACGGAGGAGCCGCTGGACGCGCTGCCCGCGCGCGAGGAGGCTCCGTGGCGGAGCCATCCCGACGCCGCGTCCCCACGGCCGGCGCTGTCGCCGCGGTCCCACAACGCCGCCGGCGACGCGCTGGTCAAGCGCCGCTCCATCGCGGGGACCTTTGACTCGGTCGCGGGGCCCCGGGACGGCGCGGGGCATGCGGACGGGTCGGGGGCGCCGGTCTTTGGCGCGGCGCCGTTTGGTGTACACGCGGACGGCTCGCCTCGCAGCGAGGCAGAATGAGGCACGATGAGTCGGCCCGGGGGTCGGCGCCACCGTTTGCAGCACGCCTCTCCTTTTTTGCGTTCGCAGAGGGTCGTTGACTACATATAAGGAGGTCTCGTGTTGTGTGTGTGTGTGATTCGGTGTGTGTGAGGTTACCACCTCATGTAGCATGTGCATGTGCATGTCATATACGGCTTTATTGGTGACAGAGTCGGCAAAGAGCCTTCGTTGTAAGCCAGTCCCGGCAGCGGCACCCGGGCGCCGGTCTCCAGTGGCACTGGCCACTGCGCACTGCCACTGGAGGGGACAGGAGATACGGGGTGCGGACCCTGAGTTGAACAGGGGTTGTGCGCCAAGCCCTCCTGCTCGGCTCCAGCGAGTAGACAAGTGTTACCATCAACAGAGGAGAAGGATATGACCTCAGGGCTGATGTGACCAAGCGCTGGTAGCGTGGTTTTACCTCACACCCATGGTCTCACAGTGTGCCGGCAGTCGCCGAGCAGTGTCGCTCACACAAGCCGCAGCACGAGTGACTGAGGGCCAGTGAGGGCGAGCCCATCGCTGTCACAGCTGTGGCAGCCGCACAGTAGGCTGTGCCAACTGTGCAGAGCGTATGAGCAGCAGAGGAGCTGCTCTCCAGGCTTCAGGCGCAAAGAGCTGCATGCCACCGAAAGCGCTGTCGAGGTTCGCCGAGCGCGGCGAAATCGGGGGACGCCGTCACCGACGAGCGCGTTGGAGTATTCACTCCGGACAAAGACGGCCACACGCACACGAGCTGCGGTCGTGTGGCCGTCATAGCGGCGAGGCGCGGGACCGTCTGTGGCGAAGTGGGTCGCGTCCCCCGATTTCCTCAACTCAGGGTCCGCTCCCTCTAGGCGATAAGTCCCCATAAGCCCCTTGCAAGCAGCAAGGGCGAGGGCGAGGGGGGCGGAGGGGCTGGGAACAAGGGGCGACGGGGCCACTCTCCCCGCTCAGCTTGTAGAACCGTTGACGCAATATAAAACATGCACCAGATTCACGAGCTCGTACGCCGGCGAATTGTCTAATGAGCTACGAGCCGCCAGCTCCGCGCCCCTCGACCCGCGGCCTCCCCCGCCCACCCCGCCCGCCGCGCCCGCCGCGCCCGCCCCGCCCACCGAGGCCGCACGCGAAGCGAACCGATCGCGGCGCCGACCAGCAAAATTCGCATTGGCGCGCCTCCCCGTCCAGCTCAGCTGCCGCCGCCCCTGCAAGGCTCGGAATCTCAGCCTCCGCCGCCTCGGCAAGCGCCTCGAGCCGCGGCAATGCCTCCGCGAGCGGCATCCGCTTCTTCTTCCTCTCGTATGCCAGCCCGACCACGAGCCGCGCCAGCTCCTCGGCCTGCGCCGCCGACCAGCCCGCGTCGGCCGCCGCGATGCTCTCCGCCGTGTCGGGCTCCTCCAATTCATCCTCGCACGCGTTGAGCAAGCCGACGGCGCCGCGGCCGGTCAGGCTTACGAGCAGCGTGATGCCGAGTGCGAAGCCGTCAGTGAGTTGCGAAGCCTGGTTGTCGTTGAGAATGATCTGATCAATGTAGCCAGGCTTTCCGAAGATGCGCTGCGTCGACAGGTGCGAAACCTGTCCACTGCTGCCGGCCGTCGCCTCTGCAGCGCGCGCGAGGCCCACGTCGGCGAGGTAGCCGTTGCCGCGCTCGTCGAGCAGGATGTTGCCCGCCGACACGTCGCAATGCAGAGTCATCGGCGAGAGCGTGTGCAGATAGTGCAATGCACTCGCCGCGTCGCGCAGCACGCGGAGCCGTGCGGCCGAGGAGAGCGGCGGAGGCGGCGTCTCGAAGCCGAGCATGCGGAGCCGCTGCAGCGCGGCTGGAGTGCGGTAGAGGCGATCCTCGAGGCTGCCGCCGCGGCAGAGGGGGTAGACGAGGCACGCTCTCGCCGGCGCCAAGCAGGCGCCGAGCAGAGGGAGCAGGGACGGGTGGCACGCCGCGCTGAGCGTGCGCACCTCGCTCTGCAGCTCGGCGAGGCCTTGGGCGCCGACACCGACCAGCGCCGTCTTGACAGCGAACCCGCAAGCGACGCGCGGAAGCGACGGCAGCGCGTCGGCGCGGTAGACGCGCCCGAAGCCTCCCTCGCCCACCTTGCGCGCCTCGGCAAAGCCGTCGGTCGCCGTGATGAGCTCGTCGAGAGGGACGGCGGCGGGCGGCGCGGCGGCGGTGGCGAGAGCGGCGACACTCGCCGCAGCCGACGCTGCTGCCGCTGCCGCCGCCGCTGCCACCGCCTCCGCTGCCGCCGCCTCTTGAGCCTCCGCCGCCGCCACCGCCGCGACCGCCGCCTCTACAGCCGCCGCCTCCCCCTCCGCCTCCGCCGCCTCCGCTGCCGCCCTCTGCCTCGCCTCCTCTCCCTCCCTTGCCTCTTCCTCCCTTGCCCGCGCCTCTGCCTCCTCCCCTGCGCGCGCCGCCGCCGCCGCCTCCTCCGCTTCCCGCGCCGCCCGCACCGCCGCTGCCTCCTCTGCCGCCACCCGCTCCGCCTCCTCCGCCGCACGCGCCTCCTCCGCCGCACGCGCCTCCTCCGCCTGCTCCGCCGCCCGCTCCGCCGCCCGTACTGCCGCTGCCGCCGCCGCCGCCCGCGCCTCCTCCTCCTCCGCTGCCCGCTCAGCCGCCGCCGCCTGCCTCGCCGCCGCCTTCTTCTCCTTCTGCCGCTGCCGCTTCAGCGCCCTGGCCTCGCGGGCCTTTCGCTCCGCCAGCTCGTCGCGCAGCCGCCGTGCCGCCTGCAGCGCCTCCGAGCCGTCGGCGACTTGCGTATTTGCGTTGATCACAGCCCTGAGGGCGTCGAGATCGATGTCGCCTGGGCCGCACGCCTCCACCGCCTCGCGCAGCGCCGACTCGGCAGCATCGCGCGCCTCCGCCGCCTCCGCAGCCGTTGCCACCTCGCGTGTGGCCGCCGCGGATTGTTCGACCACCGCCGCCTCCCCCTCCGCCTCTGCTGCGGTCGACGAGTGCTCCTCGAGGGCGCGCACGCACTCGGCGTGGCCCTTCTCCTTGGCCCACTGCAGCGCCGTCTTGCCGTCAAAGGTAAGCGCCGCATCTGCACCCGCCCGCAGCAAACGCCGCACGACGGCGGGGTGGTCCCAGCCGGTGGCGAGCATCAGCGCGGTGCCGCCGCCGTTGCTCTGCAAGTTGATCTCCGCGCCGTGCCGCAGCAGCAGCTTGACCACCCGCTCGTGGCCGTACACGGCGGCGCCCATCAGCAGCGTGAGGCCGCTCGCGCCGCCTCTCTCGTACGTCGCCGGTGACTGCCACGCCACCGCTCAACGCCCGCCCCGCCGCCCCCGCTGGAGATAGCGTCTCCGCGACTCTCGATCCAGCCGAGGAAGCGCCGCAGGAAGCGCCGCCTGCGCCTTCGCCGCCGGCTGCCTTCGCCGTGGGCCGTCCCGCCACCACCTCCTGGACGTGCTTCTTGAAGGCCTCAACGCACTCGGCGTTGTCCTTCTCCTTGGCCTGCTGCAGCGCCGTCTTGCCGCTCGCACCGCGAGCCACGGTGTCTGCGCCCGCCCGCAGCAAGCGCCGCACGACGGCGGGGCGGTTGAGGAGGGCGGCGTACATCAGTGACGCCATTTCTGCCCTGCAGGTTGACCTCAGCGCCGTGCTGCAGCAGCAGCTCGACCACCCGCTCGTGGCCATTGCGGGCGGCGCCCATCATTAGCGTCATGCCGCTCACGGCGCCTCTCTTGTACGTCGCGTCGACCCGCCCGCCGCTGTCGAGCCACGCCAGCACCGCCTCCTCCTCGCCACGCTCCACCGCTAGCAAGGCCACGCCAATGGTGCCAGACACCATTGGGTTTGGATGCTTTTTTGAGGTAGGGGCTCTTGTGGCGGGGGTCCAAGACAGGCCACTTACGGCTATCAATAGACGACACGCGCTGTAGTCGGCTGCTAGATCTAGACATAGCCGCGCATCTGCAGCAGCAGCTGCTGCTGCACCGCGGGCTCGACGCGAGCGTAGTGCGAGAACTCCATCGAGAGCGAGGCCTCGCCGGCTGTGAGCGAGCGCAGCGCACTCGCATACCCCACCATCGCGGCGAGCGGCGCGCGCGCGAGCACCGTCTGCCGCAGTGCGTCGGAGGGCGTGAGCAGCTTCTCGACGGAGCCGCGGCGGGCGCCTGTGCCATGAATATCGCACTCGCCCCTTCCCGGGACCCAACGCTTCCTTCTGACTGACATCGCTCCTCTCTCCCTTCTCGACTGTCTGTGCCTGTGCGTCTTGGGCCCGGGGCTGTGTTTTGCACGAACGCGACACGGTCAGGGTGAAGAGACGGTCAGGGTGAAGAGACGGTCAGGGTGAAGAGACGGTCTCGTGCCGTGCAGTCGGAGCGCCGCGTGAGCATGAGGGCTACGAGGAGAACACGTGCCGTTGGGTGCCGCCGAACAACATGTACATGTGCATGTGCATGTGCTTTCTCGAGCGCCGGCCGGAACACGCGGGCCCGGCTTCCGCATCTAGGAGAGAGGGGGCGCCAGTCAGCTCGCTGAGCACTGCGCCGAGGTGCTGCTCGGCGGTCTGCACCTAGAGGGGTGGGACGGCGGCCCGTCACGCCCAGCCCAAGCCTCCGAATGAGACGGGCTGCCCGACTCTGCACCTCGACGCGCATGACCGGCTCGAGAAGCACCGGCGACGCCGCAGCGACCGCCTGAGACAGACAGACTCGGACTCGCCTCTCAAGTCCCTCGGTCTCCATCTCTCCCCCCACCGACCTCCTCTAACCAGCGGCCGCCTGAGACAGCGCCTCGGCAGCCGCGCCGCCGATCGCCTCTGGCGAAGTGCCCCGCGGCGCAGTGACGCTCGAGACCTCGGCGCGCGCCGCGTGAAGCGGGAAGCCGAGGAGGTCGCCGTACGCAGCGGCGCCTGCACAGGGGGGAGGGGGGGGGGGGAAAGGGGGGGTGGGAAGGGGGTTCCCAGAGGGGGGGGGGCAAAAGGGGGGTTCTGAGAGGGGGGGGGGGGGCTTTGAGAATGTCGATGCCTCAGGGCGCTGGCTTCACGGTCTTGAGGCGGGCGATGCGCGGGCGCGGCTGCGAGGTGCGGCAGATGAGCTGGAGACGGGGCGGGCGAGGGTGCGGGGGGCCTCGCATCCCGTCGAGTAGATGCCCGAGCTCGCGCCGCGTCAGAGCGGAGCGCACCGCCTCGCTAGCGGCGTGCTGCACCGCCGCCGCCTCCTGCGGCCCCTCCTGCGGCGCGGCGCCGGCGCCGTCCGCGAGGTCGAGAGGGCGCACCTCGATCGCGATGCACCACTGCTTACTCAGGGTTCACTGCGGAGACTCAGCGGTGATTAAGGCTCCACCTCGATCTCGATGCGGACCTCGCCCCCCTCCTTGAGCTGCGAGGCGTGCGTCGACGTGCGCCGCACGGCGCTGCAAATCGACTCGCGGTAGGCGACCCGCATCTCGCCCGCATGGACACGGAGCTGCCTACTCTCAGCTGGTCTCGGGTGACCTCGAGTGACCTCGATCGATCTCGCCCGCACGCGGACAAGGAGCTGCCACTCTGAGGCGAGGCGCTGCAGCAGCACCTCGAGGTGCAGCTCCCCCATCCCCCCCACCATCAGCTGGCCGGTCGACGCGTCATTCTTGACCGCCACCGACGGGTCCTCGAGCCGGAGCGCGGCGAGCGCCTACTGAGTACTTGCTGCTGCCGGTAATGGGCATCGACGAATGGCGGGTCCTCGAGACGGGGTGGGGCGAGCGCCGCGTCGAGCGCCGGCTGCTGCGACGCCGCCTCGGCCTCGACCGCACAGAAGAAGACGGGCGGAGGCACCGCCACCCCAGGCAGCCGCAGGGCGCCGAGACCCTCCTTCGGCCGCAGCAGCAGCGTGTCGCCCGTCGCTACGCCCTTGAGTCCTCGCGCCGCGCAGATAGTGCCGGCCGGCGCGGCCTGGACCGCGAGATGGCATCTCCACTCAAGAGGCGCGATCTCGGCGCGATCTCGGCGCGATCTCGGCGCGATCTCGGCGCGATCTCGGCGCGATCTCGGCACGATCTCGGCGCGATCTCGGCGCGATCTCGGCGCGATCTCGGCCTGGATCTCGACGGCCTCGCCGCCGTGAAGTGTCAGCAGCGCGGTGGGCGTCTCGACCAAGCCTCCGCCCCCGCCCCCGGCGGCGAGGCCGCCGCCCCGCCCCCCGCCCCGCCTCGCTCCGGCTGGCGGGGAAGCGGCCTCTTCGCGGCCCCTTTCGCCCGGCACGAGGACGAGGGGCGAGTGCGGCGAGATCTCGCCGTGGTAGACGCGGAGCCAGACCAGCGGCTTGCGCGAGTGCGCCTCGTGCGTCACCTGAAAGGCGAAGTAGCGACCCTCCCCCCCCCCGTCCGCCGCTCATTCAGAGTCATTCACACTGGAGGAGCAGTAATCAACGCCGAGTCACCTTGAACGCGAGCGCCACTCCCTCCGCCGCCGCCGCCAGCGGCACGCCCGATGCAGCGCCGCTCCCGCCGCCGCCTCCCTCCCCGCCGCCTCCCTCCCCGCCGCCTCCCTCCCCGCCGCCGCCGCCCGCGGGGGAGAGGAGAGGGGCGGGCCGCTCCTAGATGCACAGCCGCAACATGACTCTCACAGTCATCCTCATCCTCATCCTCATCCTCATCCTCATCCTCGGAATCGTGAGATTGAGAGGGGGCGGGTCGCTCCCAGAGACACAACCACACGCCGTTACTCATCCTCACATCGGGATCGGAATCGTGAGATCGAGAGGGGGCGGGTCGCTCCTCGGCCGACGGCAAGTAGGCTGCGACTGCGTCGAGAAGCGGCTCGACTCCAACGCCGCGCAGGGAGGCACCGCAGAGGGTGGGCACCGCGGCGGAGCAGAGGGCAAGCTGGCGGATGGCGGCGGCGAGCGTGGCGGCGGGGACAGCCTCCTCGGCCAAGAACAAGTCCGCCACCTGCGGCCGGCGACGAGGGCATCTGAGATGCAGTCGATCGAGCGGGCACCGAGGACGAGTCACACACACCGGCCATCAGGATCGGATAATCTCGGGCCATCTCGGGCCATCTCGGCTCATCTCGGGTCATCTCGGGCCATCTCGGCTCATCTCGGGCCATCCCGAGCCATCTTGGCTCATCCCGGGCCATCCTGGCTCATCTCGGTCCATCTCGGTGCAATCTCGCGCCACCTCGCCGTCTGGGTCGAGCTCCGCAACCTCCTCCACCAGCGCCGCCCTCGCCTCCTCCGCCGCTTCGCATACGGCAGCCTCGCCCTCAGCCTGCAGCGAGGGAAGCTGTCTCGGACGTGTCTCGGACGTGTCTCAGACGTGTCTCCGAGGTGTCTCGGAGGTGTCTCGGAAGTGTCTCGGAAGTGTCTCCGAGGTGTGTCGGAGGTGTGTCCGAGGTGTCTCGGAGGTGTGTCGGAGGTGTGTCGGAGGTGTGTCGGAGGTGTGTCGGAGGTGTCTCGGAGGTGTGTCGGAGGTGTGTCGGAGCTGTCTCGGACGTGTCTCGGACGTGTCTCAGGAGTGTCTGAGAGGTGTCTCGGAGGTGTCTCGGAGGTGTCTCGGGAGCAGCCTGCAGCAGCGCGAGCCCGGCGGAGGAGGCAGCCTCACACGCCGCAGCCGCGGCAGCAGTCAGCTCCAGATCACAGACCTACGGCCAGCACCTCCGCGACACTTCACCGACACTTCCGCGACACTTCACCGACACTTCTCCGACACTTCTCCGACACTTCACCGACACTTCACCGACACTTCACCGACACTTCTCCGACACTTCTCCGACACTTCACCGACACTTCTCCGACACTTCTCCGAGACAGCTCCAGATCACAGACGAGCGGTGCATGGCGCTGCGGCAGCGCTGCTCCACCCCTCGCGCCTCTGAGCGAGACCCTGTCTCTCGGCTGTCTCTCGGCTGCACCTCAGATCTCGGCGAGATCTCGGCGAGGTCTCGGCGAGATCTCGCCTCTGAGCGCGACCCCGTCCCGAGCTGCGCTCCCCGAGGCCGCCAGCGCATCGCGACGCCCGAGACGAGGTCGACGGCCCCTAGGAGGCAGACTTCGCTCTATGAAAGAGAAACGGAGGCTGCATGGAGGAGAAGCAAGCCTGGCCGCGAGGCGACGGCGACGGCGGCGACGCGGGCTTGCGCGCCGCCCACCCAGTGCAAGCTCTATCTCGGCCATATCTCGGCCAGGTCTCGGCCACATCTCGGCCATATCTTGGGCAGATCTCGGGCAGATCTCGGGCAGATCTCGGCTAGATCGTCGCCGACGAAGTGCTGCGCGCCGTCCGCCGTGCCGGCGGGCTCGTACAGCGGCAGCTGCAGCCGCAGCGGACGCAGCTGCAGCCGTGTGGCGAGCGAGGAGGCGGCGGACTCCCAGTCGGCGCCCTGGGGAGATGTGGCCGAGATGTGGCCGAGAGGTGGCCGAGAGGTGGCCGAGAGGTGGCCGAGAGGTGGCCGAGGTCTGGCGGAGGTACTCCCAACCGGCGCTCTGGGGCGAGGCGCGGCGGGCGCGGCTCTGGCTGGGCGAGGCTGTGGCGAGGCGCCTCTCGGTCCATCTTGTTGACAAACGCGACAGCCGGCACCCCATGCCGGCGAGCCTGTCTCCAGACCGTCTCCGTCTGCGCCTGCGCGCCGGCGACCGCGTCCACGATGAGGACGGCACCGTCCAGCACCCGCACCGCCCGCTCCACCTCGACCGTGAAGTCGATGTGGCCCGGCGTGTCGATCAGCGAGACGGCGGCGCCGCGCCAGCCGAACGAGGTGGCGGCGGACTGGATGGTGATGCCGCGCTCGCGCTCCTGCTCCAAGAAGTCGGTGACCGTGTCGCCAGAGTCCACCTCGCCCGCAGCGTGCACCGCGCCGGCCAGCAGGAGCATCCGCTCGGTAGTGGTCGTCTTTCCGGCGTCGATGTGGGCGATGATGCCGACGTTGCGCGTGTTGCCGCTCCCGAAAAGCCGCGTGCTGAGACGACACACGCCGCGCCGGCAAAGCGTGGCTGGGAGGACGAGGCGCACGACCATGGTGGCCTCGACCTCGGCCTCGACCCGGCCCCGTCACGGCGCGAGTTTCGGCTCCTTGTACGTCCTACCCGGATAGGGGCACTGGGCACTGACTCGCGCCAAAACGCCCTACCTACCCTACCTATCCCCAGGCCGCGCAGCGAAAGTGAATGCTGGTCAAGTGAAACATGTATAGTTCACAGCCATTCCCGCCTCCAACCAAACTCAAGAGTTGTGTGGTCGCCCCGCGCATTGGACCAGCCTCTCTCTCTCTCTCTCGGCACTCTGTTGTCGCCAGCTCGCAGCTCCGCGACGATGGCCTCCGAATCGAGATGCTCTCTTACGGCCAGTGCCCGCGCACGCTGGACAGGGTGGACATGCGTTGGGTGAAGGACGCGCCGCGCCGGAAGAGGGAGCAGCGCGGCCCCATTGTCTTTCACCCGGGAGGCAACATGGCCTCGAAACTGTGCCGGGCTTCGAGACGTCCTAAAGCCGCTATGGGAGACGGTCGGGTGCGCGGGGGCGTGGTAGGGCGAGGTCCGCGCGGACACGACCGTTCTACGCAGTTCTCATGCAGACCAGAGGGTCCACCGACCGCCGCCACGTCCTGGCGCTTCGACCGGCCCAGTCGACGGCCCAGGAGCCGCTGCCAGGACGTCTGACTCGGGTCATTGTCGAGCGCGCTAGAACCTAGATACGTACCTCCGCACACCGGATACGACGCGCTGTTCACTCATGGGTGAGGGGACAGATGATTGTAAAACATCAATGCAAAAAAGGCTAGCCAAAAAAGAAAACCGACGTCGGCGCCATGAGCGCCCAGGCCGAGATCGACCGCCTCGAGGCAGAGCTGGCTCGGCTCCGAGCGAGTCTCGTTCCTCCGTCGTCGCCACCCTCCCCGCCTCCGAGCTCTGCGGCCGGCTCGACCTCTGGCGTCGTGTGGTGGCACGTCGCGCTGCCTGTACTCTCCGTGGCGGCGCTGGCGGCGGTCCTCTTTGTGCTACATTGGTTTTCCCTCCTGCCCCGCACTGGGCGGCTGCGCTCGCGGCGGTCGCCACGCCGCCGAAGGCTTCCGCGCTGGCTGCGGCAGATCACCGACGGCCTCGAGGAGGCCTCCTCGTCCGTCTTTGCGAGAGAGAGGGCGGGCGTGGTCCACGACATCGCGGCCGTCTCTCCGGCCGACGAGGGCGGCGCCCACGGGCTCCTCTCGCGCCGCGACTCGAGCGACCCGCGCCGCGCACACCTCCTCGAGCTGCTCGAGCGGCTGGACGGCGGCGGCGGCGGCTTGGGGCCGCGATCGGCGTCGCACGGGGAGGCGGGGGAGGGGGCGGCGTGCGCGGGCGCGTCGGCGGACATCGACCGCCTCGTCGCGCGCACCGGCTCGCTGGACGCGGCGCTCGTGGCCGCCGTCAGCCAGGCGGGCTCCGCGGGCGACGTGGCGGCGCTGCTGCAGCGGGGCGCCTCGCCGCACTCTGCGCTGCTCGGGAGCGGGCCGGTGCTCTCGCTCGCCGCCCGCGGCTGCAGCGCCGAGGTGAGCAGGCTGCTGCTGAGCGCCGGCGCCGACCCCGACGGCAAGGACTCGCGCGGCTGGACGCCTCTCATGGACGCGATCGACGCGCACTCTGCCGCGGCGCCGCGCGAGCAGGTGGTGAGGGTGCTGCTCAGCCGCGGCGCGGCGGTGGACGTGTGGACCTCGCCCGCGCGAAGGCGGCCGACGCCGCCAAGGCGGAGGGCAGGGGGGAGGGTAAGGCGGAGGGAGCGGGCGCGACCGACCTGCGCGTGTGAGGCCGCGCGCACGGCCGGGACGCACTACAGTCTATACACCGTGTACAGTCGTCGTCGGGGGGATGATCTAAAAAAAGGGGCCCCGATCTTAGAGTCACACAGTGAAAGCTCTCGAGGTCGAGCATACGCCATCGATATCCGTGTCGCTTCGGCGCGCTGGGGCCGGCCACCGATTTCTTTTCTCTCGCTCGCGATGTCCGATAGCGGGCCGAAACAACAAAAGTAGCAGACGACAAGCAACTAGCCTTCCTTCGGCGAAGAAAAAAGGGAGAAGAGGAATGGGGGTAAGAGAAAAGGGTCCGGTTTAAGGAAAAAGGGCGCCGAAAAGGGCGAGCTCATCCGTTTCACCCTTCGACCCCAGCTGAATGATGAGCGGCGAGGCCGGAGAGGAGCTGGATACACCGGCCGCTCGCATCATGGCGCGTCGCGAGAGCCGCGCCGCGATGCCGGACCGGCTCAAGGTGGCGGCGCCGGACGACAGCTCGGATGAGGAGTGGAACGGAGACGACGACGAGGATGAGGAGGAAGCGTCGCGTTTACTTGGACGCGTCGAAGTGTGGCCGCGTGCGCTTGCACGCGGTGCAAGGACCTGCGCAGTCGTCCTCCGGCCTGGGGGTGGACGACGAACGGCGCAAGAGCCTGGCCGACAAGGGCTGGGCACGCCGCACGGCGGTGGTGAACAGCGTGGGTGCCAGCGGTGCGGCGAGCTTCGAGTTGGTGCCGGGGCGCGAGCAGTTCGGCCCGGGCGACGATGCGGCAGCCGAGTGGGAGCGGCAGATGCTGCAGTTCACGGAGGACAACTTCGAGGACACGGGCATCGAGGTGCGGTCGATGGACAAGCGCGATCGCGAGATCGGGCTGTTCGGCGACTTTCTGGAGCGCGTGAAGCACGGCAAGTTCGTCGAGTGGCGGGCCGACCCGGAGCACGCGGGGTTGTACAAGCTCGAGATGGTGACGCGGGTGCGAGAAATCGGGGACTGCGCGACGCGCCCCGCTCAAGCGGCTCCTTAGCTGTCTCATGGCCGCCGCGCGCGAGCTCGTCATCTCTCTCAGTTCAGCTCCAAGGCGATCGCCGCCCTGCGCGTAAAGGGGTTCTTGCCGATCAAGGACTACAAGCTCTCGTCTGCGCCGATGGGTCTCGAGGAGCGCAAGAAGCTGCTGCCCGCGCCCTACACCGTGCCGGTGCTGCGATGGGATGGCGAGGTCGTGGCTGGCTCGGACGAGATCTGCGCCTTTCTCGACGAGCGCGTGGCAGAGCCGCTCCTCTACCCTGCCAAGCACGAGGGCGAGATCCGCCGGCTGGAGAGGGCCGCCTCCGATCTGTACTGGGTAAACGGGTGGCTGTCAACGGTGGACGCCGCTGGATTCGAGCGTTGGAGCGGCGCAAGGGTGCGCAAATACGTGAGCGGCGGCGGCGCTGGCGTCGGGCCGCGGCTGCTCTTCAAGGCGCTGCCCGGCTCCGTCACGAGCCGAATGATTCACGGCGTGGCTAAGAAGAGCTACCTCGCGACGCTGCGGCGGCGGGGCGCGGAGCTGGGAGGCGAGACCGGCGCGGCGTGCCTGCGGCTGGCGGCGGAGCGCGACACGGCTCTAGTGATGGAGGAGGCGCGAGCGATGCTGCGCGCATTCGACCGCGAGCTGCAAGCGTCGGCAACGGAGTTCTTTTGCGGCGCTTCCGAGCCGACATCCGCCGACCTGACGCTGTACGGCATGCTAGAGCGCTGGCTGGGGAACAGCCTCTGTCCTGGTCTGAACGGGCCCGCGCAGCCCTCGGTCATTGACGGCATGCCCGGCCTCAGCCTCGCGTGGGAACGGATGCACGAGCGGTTCCAGCGCGACTGCACGCTCTCGGAGCTCGACGACTTTGCCGACATCGCCACTTCCGTCGGCGATGTCACGTGGTCGCGGAAGGGCTGACTCGTTGCCATAGTCTCACTCCACTGACAGTGTGCCGTGCGCCTCGTGCGGGCCGACCTCACACGACAGCTCAAAGTTTGACAAAATTGGTCTCCGACAAACAAACGTCAAGCTCACAGACCACACTCGCGTCTCCTGTGGGCTCTGACTACTGACATACAAAGATACATCGCGACGCCCAAGAACCGCTCGCGCAATGCTTTTACAAGCCTCCAGGTCTTCGAGACCAGGTGGGGGACCAGGTGCCAGGTCCGTGCCAAGTGCTGTCGCACCTCGCAGGTGGATGGATGGAGGTGCAGGTCAGCGTACAGAGCGACAGCGTAGAACTTGGATCTTGGTTTGTCTGGAGGTGGATGGAGCTCCCACGCGTGGCCATTGACTTGGATAGAGCTCCATCCTGACATAGACTTGGCTTTGCTATCATTCCTGCAAGCCCGCCTGAGTTCCTGGGGATCGCCGCTTTTGCGCACCATTGCCCTTGGTTGGACCAGTTGGCCTTCTGAGGTCGGGAGATGCCGTGTCTCGGATAAACCTGATCGACCAGCCGGGAGATGCCGTGTCTCGGATAAACCTGATCGACCAGCCGGGGCAAAGTGTCCAAGGCGATCCTCTGCTTTCCGCCCACGCCCTCGCCCCTGCCCCTCCGCTGGCCAGCGAGAAGCGACCCCCGCTCCCATCCCACTCACAGGTGCGTCGACGCTGCTTCGTAGGCCACACGCCTCCACTCGTAGACCACACGCCTCTCCCGCCGACGAACAAACGCAAGCAAGCCACACAGCCCCCGCCACTGTCACACCTCCCCGGCGCAAATTTGGGGGCGGCGTCATCGGCGGCGCGCGCAATGCTTCGGCCTTCCTGGCAGCCGGGACGGCGCTCATCTTCCCACTACGAGAGCTTCGCTCTTCTGTCGACGACGCCTCTGCGCAGAGCGCGAGGGTCAGGCCGACTTCACCTCCGCCGACTTGCCCTCTTCACCATCGCCGCCCTCAATCGCCGCCAGCATCACCATGGTCGTGTTCATCACCGCCGCCATCATCGCCGCCGCCTTGATCATCTCCGGCATCATCATGCCCGCCGCCGCCGCACCCACGAGGCCGACGTCTTGGAGGCGCCTGCACTTTATGGTCTCGGCTGAACGGCGCGCGGCTCTATCCCGACCTTCACTCCCACCGCCCGCTCCCACTTATCGCACTCGCAAAGCCCTCGCGACGCGACGCGCCTACCCCCCCCCCCCTTCTGACTTCGCCTGCAGTTCGCAGCTGCGCTGCGGCCCAGCCGCTCTCGGCAGCCCCGACTCCCTCCGTCCTGCGTGACGCCCGCTCCTTGGCCCACGCCCTCGCCGTGGCGCATTCCACGCCGCCGTCACCACCGGTCGCCGCCGCCCTTGCCGCTCCGCCCGCCCTCGGCCTCGCACCACCTGCCCCCTCCCGCTCGCAGGTGCGGCTGCGGCCATCGAGGAGCCGCGAAACGCGTCGCTGC